AAGTGCAAAACGGAAAGTGGAGGGAGAAAAATAAAAAGGAGCGTGTTGACAAAGTCCCCAGTTCACTTTGTTCTCCACTCTCTGATCACAAAGTGACAGATCATCTATCCTCCATTAAACTTTACCTTCTATCTTTTTTAAACCATCCCATTATTCATCACTTTCCTTTTTCCGTTTTCTGTCACATTCTTTCTCTCCCTCTCTTTCTCAGTTCTATTCACTGAAATGAGTTGGGGGGCAAGTTCTAATTGAAATTCTTTACAGGGTCTCCATGGGAATAGTAAACTTTGTGAAGAGGGAGAGAAAGACAGCGAGGGTGAACAAATGAAAGTGGAATAAAGAGGGAGACGTAGAGAGCAGGACAGAGTTTGTGAGAACTCAGGAGGAAGACAAGAGACAGAGCAAAGACTGGGAAAGAATTTCCTCCAGCGCCTCGTGAATGGGGAATGTTCACCTTTTTTTACACGTTGATAGATTGTATTTCATTTTATTTTTACACAGCGTCCTCCCTCTCCTCCCTCATTTCCCCATCACCCTCTTCCTTTCTCTGCCTCTCATTCTTTCTTCTTCTTTTCTCCTTTGTCACCTGTCACCCCTCCCTCTCTCCCCCTCCACCCTCTCCATCTGTTTTCCCCTCTTACTCTAATGCTAAAGAGGGACAATGGCACCCCATGCTGTGTATTGATGTGTGTGTGTTAATATGTTGAAGCTCATCTATTCTGCGCTTTGTTCTCACAGGTCGATGATGCCATGCTCATGTTTGACAAAACAACCAACAGACACAGAGGTACGTACAGAGAGTTACAATCATACGCACGCTGACATTATGTTAATATGTGTTGGCATACAAAGTGGGACGCCCAGAAACACATCCACAGAAATGAAAGGAGAAACAGCGTGATAGAGTTAGCAGCTGAACCTCCATGGGAAAAAAAGCGACAACTTTTCTCCAGCCTCTCGCCTTGTTTCATTTATCTTCGTCCTCTCTGAGCGAGACAGAAGTGCAGCGCCCGCTCAGGGTTTGCAGGGCCAGGACAGTTACAGGCGAGGGTGTGACTTAATGAGACAAGTGAGGACAGAGGGAGTGGCTGGAGAAGGAAAGTAAAGAAGAACACTGGGCGGGGTTGAAGAGACTGAGTGCCGTGAGGGATAGAAGGCAGTAAATCTGGGCTCGGCTTTTTTGAACCACACCTTATTTCTGCTCCTTCACGATGCCAACACCTGATTGACAGGCAAGTCATGTTAGGCTCATACAGATGCTGACAACTGCTTGTGAATGAAATGACTTGTAGTGAAGGCAGGGGAAGAGGCTGAAGTTGGATTGCAGTCTCTTAAGTATTGAGCTCTACAGACTTGTGCTTTCCTGCAAGATTTGATCTCTCATCTTGAAAGAGTCTTATTATAGCTCCTCATATCCAGAACTATAAGTTTATGGGATTTTATATTTGATAAATTTTAAAAATATGTCACTTCCCTGCCACAGGAGAGAAATATTTTATGCTTTTACAACATTTTTTATCAGTTTAATTGCCAAAATCTGGAGTTGTGGGGTCTGTGTAATGGATATTACAGTGCATAATAAGAGGTCAAGGGGTGAATTAAGAGTGGGTCTGTGTGTCTTCCAGGTTTTGGCTTTGTTACCTTTGAGAATGAAGATGTGGTGGAGAAAGTGTGTGAGATCCACTTCCATGAGATCAACAACAAAATGGTAGGCACGTCATAAACACAGAGGTTTCGATTTAAGTCGTTTAAAGAATAAATCTCCACGACATGTTCAGTCACACATTGTAGTAGTTTGTCAGTTATGGGGTGTAGTTTTACATCTATCTTAGCATTACGGACACATTAGCATTACGGAACATTAAACATTCATTTCTTTTGTTTTAGGTGGAATGTAAGAAAGCCCAGCCCAAGGAGGTGATGACACCGACAGGCTCAGCCAGAGGCCGCTCCAGAGTGATGCCTTATGGGATGGATGCCTTCATGCTGGGCATCGGTATGCTGGGTAAGCTCCATAATCAAATAGACACTACCAAAAGCATATATAAGTACAGTGTATATACATATATAGCAAAAGCAAATCTACAAAGCACTGAGAAGTCTCCTTAAAAATCCAAATATTTAATTCTTGCTATTCAAAATATAGGCTTGTTTTAAAGCTGCTACGTTTGATGCCCATTTGAAAGTGGCTCTGTAGTAATAGGTTTTATTGTGAGTCTCATCATAAATTTCCACTTAATCTTGTTTTAGACCACTTCAGTGCTCTTTATTATTGAGTTGCAGTATAATATTTCTTGAGTTCACCCACCTAATGTGGAAGAAAAACAAAATCCAGTTGACTTGAATTAGCCTTTTGATTGTGTTGATATTGTTGTGTGAGCTCATCTCTGTTCACATTTTCGGTGAATAATAACTACAACAAAATTTAGAGGTCACAGACTAAAGGTTGGAGTGAAGTATTGTTTGAAAGCCTTCTCAGAGCAAACAGGGCTACACTTGTGTCATCTGTAATTGTTTGGCTCCCTCTGCTGGTCATTCGAGCTTGTCCTGTTCTTCCCACAGTTTCAATCAAGGCTACAGATGTCGATCGGGTCTGCTTTTAATTTCTCTTGCATCCCTGAGGCTCGAAGAAGTATAAGAACAAAATCTATTATGATAATGTAGATGCTTAAATCATCATATGCTCCTGTTAGATTAACGGATCCAAAACACTGAGTAAAATGAACCCAGAAAGACAAAAAGAGAACCTAAATATCAACTAGTCCATGCTAAATAATGGCTACATTAGGTAGGCTTTTTTCATGAAAATGGTCAAATTGACATAAAATGCTGTCACATACTTTGCACTGAAGCAGAGGGAAATGGCTGACAGGAAATTGGTCAGCTAAAGCTGTGGTGTATGGTTGCCTACAAACACTAAAGCATTAAACCAATTTCCCCTCATACTGAAGTTTTTATTGTCTGTGTACTTATAATGTTTACCAGCAGATTTTACCAGATTCATACAGTTTGTATTCATGTGCCATTATCTAGCTGAGTTAACTGATTATCTTTTCTCTTCCTTAACAGGCTATCCAGGTTTTCAGACTACTTACACCAGCCGCAGTTACTCTGGAATTGCACCTGGTTACACTTATCAATTCCCAGGTAAGACCATGTAAATTCTACACTTTACTGTCTATAGGTCTGCTGACAGGAAGAGGACGTAGGCTACAAAATAGAGGCATATAGCTGATTCAGATGTGAGCACTGGGGTCATAAAAGGTGTACAAATGGAGAAAATACTGTAAACCAAATTCCCCCTCTTTGGGGGACAACAAAGATTAAGATAAAGATAAATACATGGATGGATAGACACACATGTTATGTGTCCATAACTTCAGGGGACATAACACTGACTTTCATTCATTTCCTGGGGACTTAATGTAACGCCGATACCTAACCCTTAAACCAAGTCAACATTCTAAAATGTAATGATTTACATTTTGGAACTTGCTTTTTGTCCCTATAAGGATGTCGAGTCCCCACAGTATGACTGTGTTAACAGGTTTATGTCCCCAAAACATGAGTAAATCCGGGCCACACACACTCACACAGAGTAAATGCCATCTTAATTTCAGCAGTTACTGGCTGCTTATAGATTTAAGACTGATTTTAAAACTGTCTTTTTAAACCTTTGTGCTTCTCTAAAATATCTCATCTAATGTTGTTTTCCCTTTGAATTTGCATTTTTTTCTCTAATAGTCTTCTGTGTTTATTGTATTTACTTATGTAACCCCCTTTCATTTGGCCTGTCTGCCCCTCCTTTTCCTCTGCTCCTACTTTCCTGCCTGTCCTCTCAGTAGATTTTTAACTTTCTGTGCTTGGGCGTCAGTATTAGAGTTCTGCTGTGACTACATACTGTATCTGCCTCTCGTGTTTGTATGTGGCTTTGTAGTCTGGCCGGTGGTTGGTGACTGTATTTACAAAGCGCTCTCTCTCTCGACCTTCTCTATTTCTAGAATTCCATTTAGAGAGGACCCCCCTCCTGACATCATCCCACCCCCCTGAGCTGACAGGTCAGTGGCTCCTCATTCCTCCAAGGGCCTCCAAGGCTATTTAGTAGCAGAAAGAAACGAAACTGCTGTGTGATTGATGCTACTGCTGCTAAATAAAGTAAACCAGGGTGGCTGAGAACCTTCATAAATGTACTGTAGCGTACTAGCTACGCTGACCAAGGTGATTTTAGCTTAACAGAGCTGAGTTTCCATGGCCCTGTTTGCTCCTGTTTTACATTTGATGAGTTTAGTCTTTATTAGAGGAACAGCTTGATATTTTGGGAAACGTTTTAAATGGGAAGATTTAAACCACTCTCATGTCTGTACATTAAATATGAAGCCCCCCCAGCAGCTGGTTAGCTTAGTTTAGCATGAAGGCTGGAAACTGGGGAAACGGCTAGCTTGGCTAAATAGTGTAAAGTGCTTTGAGTGCATTGAGTGTGTATTAAAGTGCTATACAAGTCCATTTGGCTCTGTCTAGCAACAAAGCCCATTAACATGTTACATTTAATTTGTTAATTTGTGCAAAAATGTAAGTTTAATGACATGCTGTGATTTTTACAGGCAGGGATATGTGCCAGGCTACTTAAAAAATACTAAGCTAGGCTAACCAGCTGCTGGATGTAGCTACATGTTTACTGGTTTGGTATGAGTGTGTTATCAATCTTATCTAACTCCCAGCACAAAAGTGAAGCTTGTTTCACAAAATGTCAAACTATTCCTTTAAGTTGCATGTAAACTAACTATTTTTTATGAGAACAATCAAGTAAAATTGGCAAGAACTACATTAGAATTTATAGTTTCCTGTAGTTATTCGAGTCAAATGTGATCTGGTTTGATTTGATTAACTCATACACCATCAAAATATGCTTTCATTGTTGTATTTTTCTAGAACAGTGAAACAGTGAGGGACATTGCCAGTGCAGGTCTTGTGACTTAGAACTCTTCTGGGCTGCCTCTAATTCTTCTCAGCATTAGGAAAATGCTTTATGAATTATATTTAGACCGAAACCTTAAAAATCCTAAAGTTAAGACTTTTAGGAGTTTCTCCTAAGTTAGCCAGCTACTTTTAGCCTCAAGACGTTTTGGGAATACAGCCCTAGATCTACGGTACAAGCGGCCTCTGCAGTTTTGTTTTTAGACTGCTGTTCAGTGGCTCTGACTTGTACTTGCATCATTACATGAAAATGTCACCCTCCTTTTTAATATCATCAGCATTACTTTGTTCCATATTTAAAGAGCCTAAAATCAGATGGCACAGCTGAGTTTTGGCTTTGACCCCTTCCACTAGTCAGATGACAGATGTCAGTTCAACCAGCACTGAGCTGTAGATTGTTATTTGTGATTTGACATGAGAGTCACCCAGGATGATTCACATCTGTGCAATAATTTGGTCTGTTTCCACTCCATAGCCATTCCCCTGACTGCATATGGACCAATGGCAGCAGCAGCCGTAGTTAGAGGTATGTGTGTGTAAGAGAGACAAACTGAGACAAAGAGTGTGACTACTTGTGCATATCTGTGCGCTTGCCTTAGGCAGAGTGTGTATACAGTGGCCTGCTTGGACAAATAAAAGAATATTTTTAGATGTGTGTGTCAAAAGCCCTCTAGCGTTGAAGCGTGACTTGTCTTGCCATCTCTTAGGCTCCACCTCTTCACGCACAGCTGGTTTCCTGGGCACCAGCAGCCCTGGACCAATGGCTGACCTGTATGCTGCAGCCAATCAGGACTCAGGAGTCAGCAGCTACATCAGCGCTGCTAGCCCTGCCCCCAGCACAGGGTTTGGCCATGGTTTAGGGGTAGGTCACACACCCGTGCTGTCTCATCTACACACACTCAAATACACGCATGGATGCACACATGCACATGAAGCTAACACAAGGTGTACTCACTCTGTGTGTGTCCTCAGGGTCCCCTGATTGCTACTGCATTCACTAATGGCTACCACTGAGACGACTCAGGTCACTGAAGCGATGGGAGGGCCTCTCCTCTACTGATGAGCCAATCACAATGCTGGCTGCCCACTGATGGCACATCCTGATTGGCTGGCCACAGGCTCTGCTGGGCTCTTCCAGCTCCCTGTGGCTCTACCCACCGACTGAATATCTTTTCAAATCCTGAACTCTTGTTTTGCTGTACTAATCTCACTTCAACATAACATCCCAATCTCTCCTTTTTTGTCCTCATGTAGTTTAATAACTAGATTCCACATTCTTTTCTTTTGAAGCTGAGAAAACCGCAAAAAAAAAAAAAAAACTCAATTTGTCATCTTTGACAGAGACACAGAGGACTATTGAGATTTTTTTTTATTATGATTTTATTTCAGTGTGATATGTCATTTCATCATGAAATCCTTCAGTGCTGTTACTGAGAGGGAGAAAAAGCCGTGCGAGATGGGTCTATAAACCATTTTTAGCAAAGGAAGAACCGATCCAACACAGTCCTCTTTTTTAAACTCAGCTGTCACAGAAACACGGAAACAACTAAAATGTATATTTTGGTAGTCTTTAAAAAACAAAAACCTTTGTAATATTGTTATTAATAATCTGTAAGGTATTTTATTCTGTAATTGGTTTTAAAGCAATGTTTTTATGTCTTCCTGTAAGATACTGTACATAGACGTTGGTGTGGGAGGGTGGGGGGAGTTACTGAACTGGCTGGCATGTCATTGGTTGGTTTGGAAAGGGTTCAAAGTAATTTGACTGATGTCATCTGCTACTTTCTATGGTCATCTCACGACTTTTTGTCAGTACACACATGTCATATGTGTATGTTGCTGGCTAGTCCGCTCCAGCATTGGCCTCCGTGACAGTAGCTGTTGAGAAATAATCTTCCAGGAGTTTGTTTGGCATAATTGTTCAGTTAAATAACATTTTTGCTACAAAGTCATCAATTTGCTTTGCTCCTTGAACAAGCAACCCTGACTCGATAACAATGAACAAGATCGCTTACATCTTCACGAGTACTACTTCAGATTAAGATGATGGACTAAGAAAGAATAATGACCGTAAGCAGGAGAAATCAGGGGCTCACGGGGTCGGAGTTTGACTTGACTTCCTCTTTTTTGAAAATATTATATATATTTTTTGCGCGATTCACTTCTTAATGTTTTGTTTATGAATTTCTTTTTTAAACAAATTCTTTTATTGCGGTGCTCTCCACCGTAAAAACAAATGAAGGACATTCTCAGAGAAGCAACTGTAGAAAACATCATGTTCTGTCCTTTTTATCACTATTGAAGGTGCATGTGACTGTGGCCGAGTGAGTGAGTGTGAGTGAGTGTTTGTGCACATACATCAAGGTGTAATATGGAACTACTTGTGGCAACGAAGGAGCATTTCGACTGCCTCTTTTTGGTACTGAAAAAAGATCGCCCTGTTCCATTTTGGCTCGTCTGCTCTTTTCCCTGGCCTCCTTGCCATGTCATTTTTAGTTTTAATAAAATTGTGCTACTCTTAAACCAGCATCTTGTTTATATACTGTTGCTGCTCTGTGTAGTGATGAAAAGAGGGGGTCTGGGCAGGGAACCAGAAATAGAACAGGGTCTCGCTCCCAGTCGGGTCTGATACAGGACCTCAGTAGAGACAACACTGGCTGGCAGGAAAAGTCATAAAGCTGGAACAAATTTGCAAAAACAAGTAGCCTGTTTGTTCAGTCTTCTAATTTCAACCTGTTTGATGTTCAGCACAGCAGAAAACTTCCTGATCCAGTGAGTAGTTCCTCTGTCAGACCACCTGGAACGCGACATAAAAACTACTGCTGGACACCAACACTGTAACTTTTTAACTTACAATAAAGCAATAAGTTATTTTTTACCTTACAAATGAAAATAATACTATTATTGGTGAAAGCAGAGGACGTGTGGATAATTCTGCGGCATTAAGACTTATTTTCAGAAAAAAATATATTTTTCTGTTTTGAGATCTTGTTCCCCTTGTATATTAAGTTGAATTATGTATTTTGTTGTGTTGATATAATGAAAAGGGCCAATGCTTTGAATGGAGCTTCTACGTGAGCTCAGTTAAAGTTTAAGATTTGGGCTATCCCCTGCCAAGCTTTACAGCAATACTTTTCTTTTTTTCCTGTTTTTTTCTGACAATTTCAAAGTCCTAATAAATTATTCTAAAGCATTTGATTGTGATTGTTTTTGGTTGTTTGTTTGTTTTGTTTTCACTATACAGTGAACTGTATACACAGACATGATGTTACACATGTTCACCAGCAATGGCATGAGATCTTAGGTACAAAGGTACCGTTTAACATTTGCAAACCTGTTTTTCCCACTGATGGACGTTATCTGAATGAATCCCACTTAAAGCCCCTCTGTGTAGGATTTGAACATTTACGAATCTGGCGACTCCTAGTAGAAGCATCAAAAAGACACTCCTCACTCCTGACCTGGAGATACATGGTTTTCTGAGTGAAAAAAGGTTAACTAAATTGGACTCTGACAACAAATATTTGGATGTCCTATTGGACACCTGTATTAACTGCAGATGGAAAATAAAGTGGCAACAATTTTAATGTAAAATTTACAGGTGCAGTGTATGAGATTTAGTGACATCTAGTGGTGGGGTTGCAGATGACAACGTTTGTATTAAACAGCTCTCAGCCATTTCACAGTGATTACCGTAAATGTGGGACAAATTGCACACTCAGAAAACGAGCTGCTGACTTGACCAAGTAAAAGCTAACAGCAGCTCACTTGACTGTAGTGGGTTACCCAGCATTGGCCATGTTCTAGCTAAAGCTATCAATTACAATTTGCATTTAGAATAACATTACTTGTTAGGCAAAATTACTTTTCCAACAAAAAACAAGCAACTTCAGCATCATTCTTTTTGTTTCCCATTGAGGAGTTCCACCTGAGAAAGGCCACACCAGTGTTTATCCTCATCTTGTGCTATCACCTATCCTGTTCCTTTGTGTCTTTGCTTCTTTGACAATGGGCATTCACACCATCTTCCTTTTTCCTGTGTTAAAGTATAACTATGATCCTTCATTTCTTCAAATTATAGTTCTTAAACATACAACTACTTCATTTTCCAAACGTTTCCAAATCATTAATCCAAATCCAAGCTGCTACTTCAACCTGAAAATACCAGTGTATGATTTGTCTGTTAGGGGCTACTGTAACAAACATGGTGGCTCAACATGGTGACAGGGGACTCGCTCCTATGGTGATATAAAAGGCTCATTCTAAGCTAAAGAAAATGCAGCTATTCTTCCTGGTGATTACACATTAATGAAAACATAATTAGGGATACTATAGTCCATTTCTGCTAATAAATCCTTCTAGATCTTACACACTGCACCTTTAATTGAGAATCTCTGAATTTCTGGAGTTAGAACTAGTCTCTGTTCCTACAAGGCCTAGAATCACAAAGGATACCAGAAAATAGCAAGGATACCAGGGTAGAAATTGTCATATTATGTTTGTTTACATTCTGATGTAGTCCACAGAATCCTAGTTACCCAGTTTTGCTGTTCTCGATTCTTCACAGTACTTTGTGGCCTTGGTGCCATGTCTACTGGCTTTTCTCAAGGACTACATTCCTCCGATGTCTCTGCCTCTAAAACCCATTAATTATTTTTACCATTACTTTAAAACTGTCCATGCCACTGGGGTCCAAAAATACTGTGAAGATTCAGAAAAAAAGATGCAGCTGTTGTTGGCTTTGAGGCAAAGTATAAATCATACATTGATCCTTTTCTTATAAAGTGTTATGAGAAAAGCTACATAAAGGAAACCAAAAGCCAAATTAAAGAGTGAAAAGCTCAAAATGCCAAGACGTTAAAACATATAGTCAATGTTTAAGGAGGACCTATCCTCAGTGTGCTACCTGTTAGTTACTTTTGTGTTTTTATCTGTTTTTAACTGGACTAGGACAGCTCCAGACAAACATAAATCTGGGGTGCATGGGGCAGCACAGTCCCTGGCTCTTGTACACAGCATGTGGTGTACTATGTAAATGACATTCATACACATTACTTGGCACTGAACTGTTGAGAGGAATCATTTCCATGTATCAGCATGTTGTGTGTTTCTGTGACGTGCCAGCAGCGGTAAACAGAGTCTGATCCCTTGCACTTCTACTGACGGCAATGTCCTGAATGGGGGCCAGCCTGGTTAGTGATCCTCAGCCCTCTCCCATGTCTGTCCTCCTCACTCTCTCTACACAAACTTAATTTTTTACAGCTTTGAAAGAGGACTGAAACCAACACGTCATATCAGACTTGTCATCCAGACTTTTGAACTTTGGTTTTAAACAATTTCAAGTTAAAAGTAGGACTTCGACTCCTCAAGCTGGATTTCTGTACTTTCTGGATCTGCTTACCTGTTCCTTTTAGTATTTTTAATTTGGGTGTTTTCACCTTGACTGTGTCTCACTGCTCTTAGGTACAATGGCTCTTGGAGCATTAAATTCGCAAGTGAAAAGTTCTCTGAGTGGGAGCGCATTTTTTGATCACAGTTCTATAGGTGAGCACGAACCTCCACCTCTACTGCGTAGCTACCTTTGTTTGACTATTTTCACCTGCTTTTGTCCTGCATACCCTGTCAACATTGTGGCCCTGGTCTTCTCTATCATGGTAAGCTTGGACTATGTAACCTGGCTGAATACACAGCATCTTACAGTATGCAGATGTACTGCTGTGTATCATTGAACAGAAATGTGTGTGTGTTCAGTGTGTTTAGTTACACAGTGTTCTGCCATGTTGTGTTGTGAGTTGTGTTGTGAGTCAGTGCGTTGGACACTAAGGTGTAACCCAGTCTCACACACCTGCTCTGCCCGTCAAACAACCTCACTTAATCTTCCATTCCAGAAAATGAAACAAAGTTTCCATGCTGCATATAAGTGATTTACTAAACATTTAGTTAGAGGCCAAAGTGAAAACTAGGCTGTTAACATTGGGCTGTGTTACCAGACTGGTAATCTGTCTTCTGGCCTACTAACCATTAACCATTTAGCCATGTAACCAAGTCCCTGGAAAACATACTGCTTTAGAGGGCACATTTCAGAAGAGTAAAAACATTAACTGGCTTCCTCATTTTTGGGCTGATCAAATGCTCGGTAGGTTTGTTAGTGTCACGGTATTTAATGTAAAATCCTCAAATGTATTAACAGAGTTTTACGTGTAACAGTGGTTTCTTATTCACAGTCTAGACACAACTATTATCAGGGCGACTATGATGGGTCCAGGCGACTGGGCCGGAATGCTCTCTATGTTGCTGTTG